CTTCCATTATGAGCCATTAATACTTGAGCAATGACAAACATATTGCCTAGCCTTTCCCGATGCTTATTTTGAATTAGCCCAGCCAGTCTACCAAATATGATAGCAAAACTGAGAACTATTACCAGCTTGCACCCCAGATTACTTTAACTGTACACATCCAACATTAAAAGGTGCCCAGTCCTGATATCCAGCAGGATATGTTATGAAAGAAACAAGTCACACAACCTTTGTTTCCTCCCTCACAACACCAGGACCTGGGTTAATTCAATGAAGCTGAATGGTCGAAGATAATGGTCCAGTAGACCTTAGTAGTATGCACATGAAAGTTCATACCAAGAACAAACTTAGTTGGTCTCTAAGGTGCTACTGGATATATATATATATATATGCTTTCGTAGATTTTCACGGGTACAGGAATGCAGGTTTTGGTGTCCTCGGGTGTCTTCCCGTGTAAAAGTTGGGGTGTCTAGGCGACGTTTCGACGAGGTCTCACTCGTCATCTTCAGGCTGGTGCTTTCGGCTTCTTGTTACTAGAACAGAGCAGGATCTCAGTGTTTGAGTTCCTATAAATACTGTTGAGGGGGTGTGGTGTATAGCCTCCAATGTTCTGGGCAGAGAGGAAGTTCCCAGGCTAGTGTGCCTTTTCTTCTTTTGTTTCTTAATTACTTGAGGGATATCTTGAGTGATTTCTTGAGTGATATCCTGAGTACCACTTAGGTGGGTCATTAGGTGTGGATTAGTTGCTAAAGCCTTCGTGTCTTGACCTCTTGAACTTTGTGAAGAGTTTTTCTGAGAAGATGGCTGTACTGCATTTAGTTGTGCTCTGGCTTGGCTTCGTGTATAGGGGCGAGCTGTGGTTTTGTGTCCTGTGCCAGCCAGATCTGTGTAGGGATTGCAGGGGGGTGCAGCATCCGGAGGTGCCACCATGGTTTGGCTACTGGATGGTGTCTGTAATTTATCTGTGGAGAGGGTCTGGGTTTGGGTCTGGTGTGGTTGATTGGTGATGGCGTTCTGTGTGCCTCTGGATCTGGTGTCGGTTTTTGTGGGGAGGGCTAATTTCCAGATGTCTGGCAGGCGGGATGTGTCGTCACGCTTGTTCATGTTGTGAGGGTGTTTCTCTATCTCGATGGCTTCCATGATTATTCTCTTGTGGTGATGTTCCATGTTAGAGAGCAATTTGGAATCTGCAAAATTAATTTCGTGTCCTGTTTCTTTCATGTGTTGGAAAAGAGAGGAAGTTTTTTCTTCTTTTTTGACGGCATTCTTGTGTTCTGCGATACGTGCATTTATTCGTCTGTTTGTTTGTCCAATGTACGTGGCTGGGCAGACTTTGCAGGGTATTTCATAGACCCCTTGGTTTTCCAACTGGATTTTATCCTTGGGGTTTCTGAGGATATTGGCTATTTTTTGGTTGGTGCAAAAGGCTGTTTTGATATTGTGTTTATGGAGGATTTTGCTAATTTTATCTGTAGTGCCCTTGATATAAGGAAGGAGGGCCATGCCATTGTTTTCTTGTTTTCTTTAGACAAGTCAGAACACAAACCCAAACTTTGGCTCAGATATGTTGACGACACCTTTGTAATTTGGCCACACGGGAAGGAAAAACTAGATAGCTTCCTCACACATCTCAACAGCCTACACCCCAAAATACAATTCACTATGGAAATAGAAGCCAACAACCAACTTCCCTTCCTTGACGTCCTAATCTACAAAAAACCTGATGGCTCCCTAGGACACACTATCTACCGGAAAAAAACACACACCAACCGCTACTTACATGCACAATCACACCACCACCCTGCACAAATAAACTCCGTAGCCAAGACTCTCATCTCCAGAACCAAACGCCTGGCTGACAAAGACCACTTGACAACTGAGTTACAGAATCTCTCCAATGTGTTAATCGCCAATGGATACCAGCAAAACAGGGTTACGAAGCTAATGCAAAAAGAAACACCCCCCAAAAACCAAGACACAGAAGAAAACAATGGCATGGCCCTCCTTCCTTATATCAAGGGCACTACAGATAAAATTAGCAAAATCCTCCATAAACACAATATCAAAACAGCCTTTTGCACCAACCAAAAAATAGCCAATATCCTCAGAAACCCCAAGGATAAAATCCAGTTGGAAAACCAAGGGGTCTATGAAATACCCTGCAAAGTCTGCCCAGCCACGTACATTGGACAAACAAACAGACGAATAAATGCACGTATCGCAGAACACAAGAATGCCGTCAAAAAAGAAGAAAAAACTTCCTCTCTTTTCCAACACATGAAAGAAACAGGACACAAAATTAATTTTGCAGATTCCAAATTGCTCTCTAACATGGAACATCACCACAAGAGAATAATCATGGAAGCCATCGAGATAGAGAAACACCCTCACAACATGAACAAGCGTGACGACACATCCCGCCTGCCAGACATCTGGAAATTAGCCCTCCCCACAAAAACCGACACCAGATCCAGAGGCACACAGAACGCCATCACCAATCAACCACACCAGACCCAAACCCAGACCCTCTCCACAGATAAATTACAGACACCATCCAGTAGCCAAACCATGGTGGCACCTCCGGATGCTGCACCCCCCTGCAATCCCTACACAGATCTGGCTGGCACAGGACACAAAACCACAGCTCGCCCCTATACACGAAGCCAAGCCAGAGCACAACTAAATGCAGTACAGCCATCTTCTCAGAAAAACTCTTCACAAAGTTCAAGAGGTCAAGACACGAAGGCTTTAGCAACTAATCCACACCTAATGACCCACCTAAGTGGTACTCAGGATATCACTCAAGAAATCACTCAAGATATCCCTCAAGTAATTAAGGAACAAAAGAAGAAAAGGCACACTAGCCTGGGAACTTCCTCTCTGCCCAGAACATTGGAGGCTATACACCACACCCCCTCAACAGTATTTATAGGAACTCAAACACTGAGATCCTGCTCTGTTCCAGTAACAAGAAGCCGAAAGCACCAGCCTGAAGATGACGAGTGAGACCTCGTCGAAACGTCGCCTAGACACCCCAACTTTTACACGGGAAGACACCCGAGGACACCAAAACCTGCATATATATATATATATATATATATATATATATATATATATATTTCTACTGCATCAGACCAACAGGGCTACCTACCTGAAGGTAGAAGATAAGAGCAGTCAAAACATAGTGTGTAGTTGAACTATGGAATTCACTGCTACAAGATGTGACGTTGGCCACAAATCTAGATGGCTTTTAAAAGACATGAGGGAAATTCCTGGAGGAATCATAAAATTATAGAGTCGGAAGGTCCTCCAAGGGCCATCTAGTCCAATGCCCTGCAATGCAGGAATCTCTACTAAAGCATCCCTGACAGATGGCCACCCAACCTCTGCTTTAAAACCACAAAGGAAGGAGAGTCCAGCAACTCCCAAAAGGAGACCATTCCATTACTAAACAGCTCGTATTGTCAGAAAGTTCTTCCTGAGGTTTAGTTGGAATCTTCTTTCTGGTAACTTGAATCCATTGGTTTGGGTCCTATCTTCTGAAGCAGAAGAAAACTAACTTGCCCCATCCTCCACATGACAGCCCTTGAGATATTTGAAGGTGACTATCATACCTATCATATCTCAAAAGGGACGCGGATGGCGCTGTGGGTAAAAGCCTCAGTGCCTAGGATTTGCTGATCGAAAGGTCAGTGGTTCGAATCCCCGCGGCGGGGTGCGCTCCCGTTGCTCGGTCCCAGCGCCTGCCAACCTAGCAGTTCGAAAGCACCCCCAGGTGCAAGTAGATAAATAGGGACCGCTTACCAGCGGGAAGGTAAACGGCGTTTCCGTGTGCTGCGCTGGCTCGCCAGATGCAGCTTGTCACACTGGCCACGTGACCCAGAAGTGTCTCTGGACAGCGCTGGCCCCCGGCCTCTTAAGTGAGATGGGCGCACAACCCTAGAGTCTGTCAAGACTGGCCCGTACGGGCAGGGGTACCTTTACCTTTACCTTTACCTATCATATCTCCTCTCAGTCTCCTCTTTCCCAGGCTAAACATACCCAGCTCCTTCAACGGTTCCTCATAAGGCTTGGTTTCCAGACCCCTTGATAATCTTGGTCACCCTCCTCTGCACAGGTTAGAAGCTGTCTTTTATTGAGTCTGACCACTGGTCCACTTTGCTCAGGATGAAGAGACATCTAGCCAAGTGAGGTGGGGAAAGGCCCACTCATTTGTCACTATGGTAACAGAGCTTAATCCAGAAGATGCTGATGGGTACTTAGCTGAGTGGCTAAGGCCATGATCTTAACAAAGGAGCTGGTTTGTCTGGTTCAGCAGGCTTCCTCTTATGGATCCTAACCTTACATACATTGGATCACAGGCCTAGATGGTACCCACAGATATCATCCAGACCAAACCCTAGAACCATAACATTGTAGTATTAGAAGGGACCCAAAGGGCCATTTAGTCCAACCCCCTGCAATGCCCATATGAGGATTGAACCTGTGACCCTGGTATTATCAACAACACACCAGCTAAGCTAACTGCCAAACCCACAACACTATTGTGGAATCTGGACAGGAATATGAGCTGCCACACGCGCCACCTAGTTCACCTTCCCCACTGTGATGAGCTGTTTCTAAAGCCACATCTATATCTAACAATTAGCAGCAGAAAGTGTTGTGCAAATCTTTTGGAGTGAGGCATCTCCTTTTGGGCCGGTGATGCTAAGATTTCACAGCGACTGAATTCACCTCGGTTCTGGCACGAAGGTCACCATCCATTTCTGTTGTTCAACAGAGGACAGGCTGCAACCCCTTCACTCCCTTCCCTGGGCAGGGGACCCAGTCCGCCTGCGCTTACTCCCAAGTAGACATGCCTCCCTCCACCCTTTCTCTGGCTCTCACCGGGCCCAGCAAAGCGGCCGGGATGAGCAGGCACAGAGCCAGGAAGGAGGCAGGAACTGCTCTTTTTTTGCAGAGGAAAGAGTTAACGCGGCAGAAACCTAACACCCGCTGGAGCCGTAGAGCCCAAACGCGGAGGGGAGAAAGGGGACGGGACGGGAGCCTCGCAGGCGGGCTGTGGCGGCGGTCTGAGTTTCCTCTGCCAACAACAAGCTATTAAAGACATGGGACTCCGGGCTGGCTTGGCTAGCAGAGGGGATCCAGTGTGCAGAGGGGACTGACCGGCAAGGCAGAGGAGCGGAAACTTTCAGGGATTTTGAAAGAAGGCGGCGGCGGCGGCGACGCGCCACTCTTCCAGGGTGAGCCTGCTGGTGGTCACGGGCTAGGTGTCCCGGGGGATGGATCCAGGCAGAGAAGAACTCCTTGGCCTTCCGCCCCTTTGCAGCCCCCCGTTCCCTCCTCCGTGTCACCTTTGCGCGCGCGTGTTTATCTGCTTAGCTTGCAAAACTCCAGCCCGGACGCCCCTAATCAAAGGCACATGCCTCGGCAGCAGCAGCTTTTGCCTTCCCCTCGCGCTCCAGCCGTGCCAGCCCCTCCGCCTCTTCTGCAAGGCTTGCATATTCCTGCTTCCACAGCCGCTCTGCAAACTTCCAAAGGGGTGGAGGGTCAAAAGAACACATGGATCTTCTTCTTCTTCTTCTTCTTCTTCTTCTTCTTCTTCTTCTTCTTCTTCTTCTTCTTCTTCTTCTTCTTCTTCTTCTTCTTCTTTCAAATGCAAGGGGCACTGCTTCACCAGAGGGCAGAAGTCAGCTGCCTTTTAGACAGCTTTCCGAAACGCACGCGAGGTAGGTCTTCACAGGCACGGTTTGCTAGAGCGGAAACAGAGCTCTCTCCTTCCCCATCCCTAGCAGAAATAGTATTTAAAAAAAGAAGTGCAAATGCCCTGTCAAGCAACAAAACTTCCCTTTGAATGAGGGTGTTTGTTTGTTTGTTTGTTTGTTTGTTTGTTTGTTTGTTTTGCTCCAGCTTTCCTTCCCATTTTGCAGATCACAAAACTGAGGCAGGCTATTATCTGGAGTTCTCAATTGCACACATGTGCAGACTGAAATTAAAGCATCCTTTCAGATGTTCGGTTAGGGTGGGCACTGCAGACAAACTGTCCCACCTAAAAACTGATAGGGGGAAGGGTTCATTGGTACAGCATCTCAGGGAGAGAGCACCTTTGTTGCATGCAGAAGGTCCCAGGTTCAATCCTCTCAAGCATTTCCAGGTAGACCTGGGAATGTCCCCTGCCTGAAACCCTGGAGAGCAGCTGCCAGTCCGTGTAGACAGAACTGAGCTAGATTGACAGATGGAACTGACTTGGTATAAGTCAGCTTCCTATGCTACTATGTTCATAAGATTTAAACACACACATACACACCAGACTTTTAATATTTCTAATACTACTGAGAGTTCATTTTTAGAACAGGAAACTTTCTGGCAAGGAAGAAAGATCAGTTAACAATCTAAACTCTGCCTTCCCGACCGGATGAGCTGTGTTCATCCAAAATGCTCCCTGAATGGGAGGGATCTTTCAAGATCACTATAAATAACACTTATCTCAGTTAAGTCATCCTGGAGGGAAATATCCCCTTTGTAATTACTGTGATGTCTGTAATCATGGCAGGGGGCTTAAGAATGGTGGTGAAAAGGGGTAACTTAAGGAAGTTATTAAATAAGGAAGGTGTACATTATCACGTATTACTGTTTTCCCGCTTATGGTACCTTTCTAAAGGTAACATGATAAATTATAGGAACAAGACTAAATATAATGTGGAAGATCTGTTGAAAAGATCTCTTTATGTCTTCTTGTTTAGTTAAAAGCAACTGCTGGAGGAGGGGGAATCTGGATTGCAGGGTGGCTCAGAGAGACTTCACAGGAGGGAAAGTTAATCTCCTCCTCCTCCATTGCTGCAACCCCGATCCAAATCCCACTCCCATGGGTGCTTTTAACTGAAGATAAATCACTGAATCACAGATCTTCCACATCACATCCTGTTTGGCCCATACATAGCCTCTTGCCCTTATCAAGGTTTCCGTTGGCCAGTGAAGGAATTACTGGTTTTCAAGTTGTTTCTTTGAAACTCCTGGAGATGTATCACCTCTGCCACATGTTCTGTACAACCAATGGAGCAATCCTGTGCAGGTCTACTCAAAAGAAAGGTCCATTGAGGAAGTATGCAGAAGATTATGGCCCACAGGAGCTATTCATCATGTCTGAGTGCAGAAGGAACAACCGTGTCACTTGCTGTAAAGTAATTTGCCATCTGTGCAAACAGGAAATACCTAGAAAGAAGAGAGAGAGAATCGTCTTCACAGAGGTGCTATATCAGTGCTTTCAGGTTTCAAAAACATGACTGACAGCCTCTAATCATAAGAGAATGACATATTTGGTATTTTAAGGGGGGTTGAGAGGTTGGGTTGTATAAACTCTTACAGTGATGGGGTGGTACTCAACTAAGTCTTTACTTAGAGTAGACTGAAATTAACAGACTTTTAAATTAGTCTACTCTGAGTAAAAACTTAGTTGAATACCATCCTTACACTGTAAGACATGGGTAGGCAAACTAAGGCCCGTGGGCCAGATCAGGCCCAATTGCCTTCTGGATCTGGCCTGCGGACAGTCTGGGAACCGCTGCGTGGATTGCCAGCATGCACGTTCTTTCCCTCTCCCTCTCCCTCCCTCTCCCTCACAGGGCAGCGGCGGTGGCACCGGCGCCTCCTCCCTCCCTCCTCCTAGCTTCTCCCTGCCCTGCCTAGAGAAGGAAGGGAGCTGGGCTTTGTTGGTGCCAGCAGCAGCAGCAGCAGCACTTGAACAGCTGCCATTTTAAGCAGGCCCTCTCCGGAGCCCTTTCTTGCGCCGCTCATTGTCCCACCACCGCTGCCAGCCCCTGCCACTCACAAGACACAGGTAAGCAGCCACGGGGGCTCATGGTGCTCTTGTGTCATTTCTTTTTTCAAAATATAGTCCAGCCTCCCACAAGGTCTGAGGGACAGTGGACCAGCCCCCTGCTGTAAGAGTTTATCCAAACCATCTCCTCAAACCTCCCAAAATATCAAGAATTTTCCCTCATGACTAGAGGCAGTCAGCCTTGTTTTTGAGACCTGAAAGGACTGATATAGCACCTCTCTGAAGAGGATTCTATCTCTCTTCTTCTTTCTTGCTTGCTTTCTTTCTGCTTGCCCTACCTTCTCCTTGCTTCTGAGGTGTTTTAGTCACAGAGAATCGAGGCCCAGAAACACCCTGCCCTTTCACATCCTCTCGATTTCAGTTGCCTTTGTGTTTCCTTCTCTTCTCTGCCAGGTCACTATGGAAACCATCCAAATGCAAGTACCTTTGGTCTTCCTTGTACTCCCACTATTTGTATTTGGGGCTCCCGCTGATGCGTCTGGCCCCCAAGAAGTCACCATCACCTCGAACAGTTGTAAACGTTGCTGTGATTCCCTGGATGCACCTGGCTCCTCTGAGGCCAGTCCTGGCCGAAACAGTCCCCACTCCTTGCCTTATATTATTCCAGAGGTGCGCCCATATATCAACATTACCATTCTGAAGGGTAAGTGCATATTCAGCTACTCCTCCTCTCCCTTCATTCTTTCCTCCCAGCTTCACCTCAGTGCCTAAAATCATATTTTAGGCTTCCCAATGGGCCAGGGGATGTACTTGAATTTTGCTTGTTACTTTGTAAACTTCCATGTGAAGTGTTGTTACTATATATAAGCTTGTGTGTATATAACATATATAGAAATGTAATTTGAGTGGTTAATGTGCAAAGCAACTGGCCATTGTGCACATTTACCAGGCCTCATGGAGAGCACATAATCCTTCCATGAAGAGGAAAATGTGCACATTTCCCGGTCAATCAATGAGGCTTGTTGGGGATTATGCATGCTGGCCAGAGAACGTACAAAATCCAATCAAGATATGCACATTTCCCAACGTCTATTGGCAATTAGGCATATTGACCATGAAAAGTGCGCAATTTCCTCTTCATGAAAGGATTATGGGTAGAATTCAATGTCACACTAAGGCCATGTTCCATCAGCCCAAGCTTTTCAGATTGCCAGATAAAACAATCTCCTCCACTCCTGCACAGTGTTCAGGGTGTGCATCTCCTGACCATCCAAAGCAGAACTGGGGAGGGTATGGAGGGAGGAAATGTTGGTGGGGGGAGCTAGTGGGATTCACTGCCCTGGCTTTCCTAAGTGCAGCAACTCAAATGAATCTGACCCTATGTGAACATTCTCCATGAGAGCCGATGAATGTGCACAACAGTCAGTCGTTACACATATTAACCACTCAATTCACATTCCCCTGAATATGTACAATATGATTGTGTATAAGTGTGTGTGTGTGTGTGTGTGTGTGTGTGTGTGTGTGTGTCTAACCCCAGTACAAGCTTCTTTGTAACTAAAGTTGCCCATAAGTAACATTTCTCAATGCTGGGTAAGTTGCTCATCTGTCTGTAGCGGAACCATAAAAGTCCAAGGAATGGCTCCATTTGGTTAGAAAAAGCCTGAAATCAGTTCAGGCCCAAGACCAAAAGTTATCCTCTTCAGGCCAAATGCAAAGCAGACAGAAGTTGCCAGCCTGCAACTAACTGAGGAAAGTCTGCCTAGTGGTAGCATATGTTTTACTTGGCTGCAGCCTCCTATCTCTGAGGGCTTCCAAAGACTCTCCTTCTCCAGCTGTCCTTGCATGTGGGACATAGCTGCTGCTTTTGCCCCGCCTTCCGTCACAGATCTTTCCCCACAGCCCACCTCCTTCGCTGGCAGCTGTGTCGTCCTTTTATCACGATGACTGCCAAGGATGCTGCAAAATGCATGGAAACACATTGTAAGGGATGGTTCCAAGCCCACCCACCAAACCATGGGTGCCCTAAGCCTTTGCTTTCTCTTTCTTTCTCTCCCCCCCCCCACAGGAGATAAAGGAGATCAAGGAGAACCTGGGATTCCTGGGAAATGGGGCAAAGAGGGGCCGCCGGGTGAACGGGGAGCCCCGGGCCCGAAGGGCAGCAAGGGGCAGATGGGTGCCCCTGGAGATCCTTGCAAGCACCAGTACGCAGCCTTCTCGGTCGGCCGCAAGAAGGCTCTCCACAGCAGCGAAGGCTACCAGGCCTTGATCTTCGACACGGTCTTCGTGAACCTCTACAGCCACTTTGACATGTTCAAGGGCAAGTTCTACTGCTACGTGGCTGGCCTGTACTTCTTCAGCCTGAACGTCCACACCTGGAACTTCAAGGAGACCTACATGCACGTCATGCGGAACGACCAGGAGGAGGTCATCCTCTATGCCCAGCCCAGTGACCGCAGCATCATGCAGAGCCAAAGCCTGATGCTGGAGCTGCGGGAGAACGATGAGGTCTGGGTGCGCCTCTACAAGCGAGAGCGTGACAACGCCATCTACAGTGACAACGTGGACATCTACATCACCTTCAGCGGCTACCTGATCAAGCCCAGCCTTGAGTAGCTGCTTGCCTCTCAAGCACCTCCGCTGCCCTCCTAAGCATTACTGTAACACTGCCTGTAAGCTGCTGCAAATCATACACAGAAGGACTGGAAGCATACCAAGAATGCGGGGCCATTCAAGAAGACCATTTCACTAGAGAATTAAGATGGAAGAAGGTGAATGTTTTGCTGACCAATTCATTAGCCTGCTTGTTTTCAGACAAGATCGTGAGGTTAGAGCTCGGCTTTCTAGGTTATCTGAAATCTTCACACCTGCTACCCCAGACATTTCCCTCATGGGAATATTGGTGCATGGACTTGGAAAGTGGTGCTTCCTTACTGGAAAGCCCTAAGTGCTCTTGTTGTACATGAAGGACACAGCTGAATTGAGCAGTCTCAAGTGAGTGACATCTTCATATAAATTCCAAGCTAAACACACCCCAGCAGCCACTATTTTTGCACAATGAGTTCCCCTGGTGCAATGGGACCTTCCTCCCTCTTCTCCAAAATCTGGTTGGGAGGGTCAGGAGAACCCCCAATGTAGCTCATGCAGAGAGGAGAGGCAATTCTGCCTGGCAAGCAGAAATGTTTTATCTGATGGAGCAATTGCCATAGCTTGACTCTGAATCCCCCCCCCCCCAATTGTGTGCATGCCATGCTCGTCTCTGAACAGGTTTTGTAGCCCTGTAGGCTGAAATTTAGATCTCTTCAGTAGGCTGTGCACACAAAGGTCAGAATCCAGCCCAAATTGTGCATGAGATCAATGGGGCTTACACAACTGTGAACTGGATCATAGCCTGTGATTTTAGAGCTTGTCAGCTGAACAGTCATGGTTTAAAATAGGTGTGCAAAAGATACAGGGAAGTGTAAAGAAAGGAATAGTGCAACTACCTTTTTGTAAACTTCTGTTTGCCATTGCCATGCAGGGACATTTGCACACATGGGGAACATGGGTCTAGACTGGTTTAACTTTGATGATGCCTTAAGTGTTGAAGTAATAGGTCAGCTCAGGCTGGGGCAAACATCAAAGGAAAGGCTTCTAGAGGGAACATTTGATCTGGTTCTCGTAAGTGAGACCTGCACCTATGTACAGGCAATGATCATTTTGCATGGGGGTTGTTTTCATGACACCCCCCCACACATTGACAGAGCCTACTCCACCCCATTATATCCCGACCCCCCTTTCCAGCCATTTCCAGGTTGCAGTGATGCTCATGTGCACAGTCATGTGTGCTTTAAAGCGCCATTGCCTTTACTACACTGTAGAGTGCTTTTGTTCAAGATTCCAACTAGTCAGCCCTACCCACTTTGAAGATACTCCATTCCATGCCCTTATTTCCTGCTTTTCCATTCCCCACCCCCTTCCATCAGTTAGTCAGTATTCTGTGCCCACTGAGCATGCCCAGTCCTTAGGATTTTTTGCTTTAAAAAATACGTACCTGTGCAAACCTTGGGTCCCACCCCCGGCTCTCTGTAGCTATCACTTTTTTGAGTATTGAGGCTGCTCTTTGCTATACACCATGATCCAAACAAAGATAATGAATTCACTATTAATAATATATAGCACATTAATCCTGGGTTGCTTTAAAAAAAAATGAAAGTCATATGGCAGGCAGTGGCACAGCACTGACTAGCTCCTATTCCTGCAGGCAATTCATCAAGAGCAGAGAATGAGTAGCTGTCCATCATAGGAAAGAGATCATAGCTCAGTAGTAGAAAGCCCCAGGTTCAGTTCCCCATGTCTACCTAAAAGTATCTTAAGTAGCAGAGCTGGAGACACCTTGTCTGAATACTTGGGAAGCTGCTGTCCTGGACTAGCCAGTCTTGGACTAGATGGACTAACAGTCTGACTCAAGAGAAGGCAGCTTTAATGTTCTTCATCAGAAGGAGTAGCAGATGATTTCTCTATTCACCTTGTACTACCATGTGGGCACGGTAGGTGGTTAGCACCCCCCCCCCCCACGGTTCCTTGTCTTATGCATATCCAGCAAGCTGCAGCCAGTTTAGAAGGTAGCAAAAGCAACAACCCTTTTCCACCCGCTGGCAAGCTACTTTCACTCATCCAGAACCCTGCTCCTCCTGTTATATAGGGATGATGTTGCTGATCAGCCTTACAGGGATTTTGCCAGGATTGCAGATAGGGCTGGGCAATATCTGGTTTTCAGCATCATGATATATCACCAGCTAAACATGATGTCTGAAATAAAGTTGGAGCTATGTAGAGGCATTGGCTGGCTTCACAGTTTTTCCTACATTGTAAATTTCACATAGCACACACAAACACATCATGATTCGTGATACATCATGATTCACAGCCAGGTCAAAAATTATGAAACCGATATCAAAATATTGGTTTCAATCCAGTTTTGGACAATATATTGATATATTGCCCAGCCCTAATTGCAGAGGTACTTTGAGTAAAGCACTCTGAAGTTTCTAGAGGGCTATGTAGTTGGCATATGGCTGTGCACAATGTTTAGCTGCAACTTTTTATGCACAAGCTGTGAATCTGCACATGCCCCACCAAGCATACTCACTGCCGCTCCCACTGCCATGTGGCCAAGTGTGCAGAGACAGCACATAGGAAAGCAGAGCTCTCCTTCCAAGTTGACGGGTCTCTCAGGGGGCAAAGGGCTATGTGGGGGCAGACATTTTTGCTTTGACCCCCATGGAGAGCCCTGCAGAGCAAGGTTATGAGAAAGAGTCGGGAAAGGGGGCTTTCTTCAGATGGGGAAGTCCGGGGCTGATTGGACAAGGAACCAAATTCCTCCTCTCTGCAAGGCATAAACGGAGAAACCAGCTGTTGTATATTTGCAACGTGTGGCGTCCCTGTGTCTCTCTAGGGAACAGCAGGAATTTCTAGCACTGAATCGCTTCCAGACCTGAGCTCTGAATTCCTCGAGCCTCTGCCTCCATTCCAATGTCAGCAGAGCTCTCAAATGTTCCTACTGAGAAGTTCTGCATTTAAAGTCAATAAGGCAAAGTGTGTGGTGTTTCGGTGTTTCCTGCTTGCTTTTTGGTGCAAAAAAAAAAAGGCTTCTGACTTTTAAAGAAGCTCCTTTGGTGCTAAACCAGGATCCTGGAGAATAATTGGTGCTTAATGAGAGATATATTGCAGACATAGTGGACTGTGGAATTTATGGTGCTTTATAGAGAACCCAAATCACCCAACCAGATTTCTTGTGTGTGTATATATTTTCCTAAATATTAAAACTTCTTTATTGCACTTTGAGATGGCTTTTCTCCTTTCGTTCCCACCCTGTTTCTCTGTGAAGCAGCTAGGACACTGTGTTGTGCAAGAGCCACGTTACATCCTTTCTACTTCTGCTCTGCAGGATCTGTCAAGATTTTAGCTGCTTAAGAATTGAACGTTTTGTTTCTTTGCAAAAGAGAGGCATTTCTAAAAAGAGGGGAGACCCGGTACAGAGGTATGGCTGGAGGACTGGAACTGGGGGAAAGCTGTAGCTCAGAAGTAGAGTATCTGCTTCCTACACAGGACGTCCCGGGTTCAAGCCTCAACATCTCCAGGTGGGGCAGGGAATGGCCCTTACCTGAAACCCTTGTGAGCTGACAGCCCTGAGTACATGGAGCAATGCTCTGACTCTGCTTCCTGTGTTCTTATGAACATGGGAAACCTCAGGCTCTGTTGCTCAACAGGAACATGAGCTCAACAGTTGACTTTGGGCAAGATACTGCCTTTCAGTCTTACTTGCCTTACAGATGTTGTGCAGCTAGAAAGCTGCTCCTTGGAGGAAGTGCAGGATAACAGTACATAACATGAAAGCTAACTTAGGAGTAGCCCCATTGAGCTCACTGGAATTATCTTCTGGGTAACCATGCATCGGCAGCTGTTTCAGAATGTCTGGGACTGTTTACTTTGGAGAAAGGACAGATAAGAGATGACATGATAAAAGTTTTATCAAATTATTTATGGCATGGAGAATGTGGAACAAGACAAGTTTTTCTCCCTCCTAGCCCTAGAACTCTTGAACAACCAATGAAATGGAAGGTTGGAAGATTCAGACAGTACTTCTTAATGCAGCACAATCTTAAATTATGGAACTTGCTCCTGCAGGAGACGTGATGGACCACCAACCAAGGTGGCTTTCAAAGACACATCCATGATGGCTATGCTTTGCCTGCATACTTGAAGGCAGCAATGCTTCTGAATGCCAGTCTCAGGGAATGGCAGGAGGAGAGAGTGGTCTTGTGTTCGAATCCTGCTTGCGGGTTTCCCACAGACATCTGGTTGGCCATTTTGAGAGCAGGATGCTGGACTCGATGGACCATGGGCCTGATCCAGCAGGGCTCTTCTTGAATCCCAGAAACTAATCAGATGTTTGGCATAGCTTCCAACTCCCCATGGTCTCAGCTTAGAAAGGATAACATCTCACGTCACACAGCCACAACAAATGCCACACTGCCAAATACTCTATAACTGCCACCTTCACCACAGCACATTTTGATTCTTATCAGTATTAAGGCAGAAGGCAAAACATTTAGCTTCTAGACTTCAGTATCTCTGGTGCTAGTCACCTGATAAATATCTGGTTTTAGTGGTTAACTGCATCCTTCCAGGATCCAGAGCACACCTAACAATCATATCACAACAGCAACAATAACAACAACTGGCTGATAGGTGAGGCCAGGCTGGTTTTCCCCTTGCCCGGACGTTGTGCCTCAGAGGCAGAGGGTGCAGCTTCCCAGTGGCCCTTGCTGCCCTGCCTGGTGAAAGAGGGGAGGAGATGCCTCCCTTTGGTTCTACAGCCCCGGGGCAACTGGCTGTTGGACCAGAATGTTCTTCCTTGCAGAAAGAGGGAAAGCAAACTCACTTTAGAGAGATATAATGCATGCATGCCTTGTGTGGTTAAACTCTAGAATTTGGGTCTCCATAACACAGAATTTGAGTCTTTGTTTTAGTGTGAATGGTTTGCCTCTGGCCTCAAGACTATTGCCCTGGTCCCTGCTGTGTGACATCAGGTCAGGAGTCACTAATACTGCTCCATCTCTCACTCTCCTTCTCTGAATGTAATTTGGAATTAATGACCTTCACAAAACTCAACCTGCAGGGGTCACTAGAGAAGTACTGGGAAAGAGGAGTGCAAAGCCACTTGATTGACACTTTGGTCCTATAACTAGCACTTATGAAGCTGGAAATAAGAGTCTCATGGAAGAACAGGAACCTTTTTCTAATTGGCTAGGAACAGCAGTATTTCCTTCTGGATTTTTTTGTATATCCATTTTGTTTTAGGAACTGGAAGTAGAGAAAAAACACACACACAAAACCTCCAAATCGACTTTTACAAGCTTTGAAAATGATTACATGGGAAGAGCTGTGGGGTTTGATTCAAGGGCATGTGGGAAAGGGAAGGTTTAAGGCATCTCCTTCATGGCTGTGGGTGAAGGGCTTGGACAAGCTGCAGAAATAAAACAAGTCAGATTGAATTGGTTTTGCTCAAGGGATCAAGGATAACACACAAAAGTCTTTCTGAATTTCTTTTCAGGGGCGCTGAGTGTTTTTAAATATCTCCAAAATAATGTGACAGAAAGTGGAAGGACAACCGAAATATCCTATATTCCCTCAGACCCAGCTCATGTAAACAGAGGAGACTGTAAACCTGTTTCCAGACTGAACTACTTTTAGATATAGGGACTCCCTATCAAAAATAATAAAATCCCTTCATGTGGAAAACTCTTGTCAGGCTTAAGACTTGCAGCTTCACCTTCTCTCTGACATGCCATTTTCTCTGTGTATAAATATTCCCCCCTCTCGATACCAGTTCCTGGGGCTACAAGGAAGCAGTGGGCTGCTGCACTCAGGTCCTGCTTGTGGGCTTTCCATGGGCATGTGGCTTGATCACTGCAAGAACAGGATGCTGGACTAAATGGGTCTTTGATTTAACTCAGCAGGGCTTTTCTTATATTCTTAAGTAAGCCTCAAGAGTGGGACATGGTAGAGATGTATAAAATTGTACGTGAGGAGAAAGTGGGCAGAAATATTTTTTTTCTCCTTCATAACACACGAGCTCAGAAACATCAACAAAACTGAACGTTGGAATATTCAGGACAGACAAAATAAAGTTCTTTTTCACACTTGTTAAACTATGGGATTCACTTCCATGAGAGACAGTAGTGGCTGCCAACTTGTATGGCTTTAAATGTCATGAAAGTTAAGACCATCGTTGGCTACCAGCCATGGTGGCTAGGTTCTGCTTCTGCTGCTGGACTCAGATTGCCTCTGAACGCAAGTTGCTGGAAATCACAAGGGCAGAGTGTGCTGCTGTTGACCGCATGTCCTGCTTGTTGGTTTCCCAAAGGGAGCTGGTTGGCCTCTGTGAGAACAGGATGCTGGACTAGATGGGCTTTTGGCCTGATCCAGCAGGGGCACTTACACTTTTATGCTCTGTGTCTACTGCCAGTGTTGAACGAAGTTCTGTCCTACTGCTTGTATTGAAGGAAGCTTCAACAGCCCAGTTTGTTTTTATACATGGAAGGAGAAGAGAGGGCATCATTTTGTCCTTCACCTCAGTTAGCAGACCTAACTTGAACTGAGAAGAAACCTCTTTTGCCGGCCCTAATCTCCCTGTGAAGTGTCACCTGCATTGCATTTTCCCCACCTAACCCAACTCTGCAATTGACTGGGGGAGAAATGCCTGGGGTAAAGGAGGTTAAGATAGGGGAAAGTTGCACTCCCCTAATTTTAGAGCCCCTTTTTGATGTTGAAAACACACATACACTTTGTTTAACAAAACCTGGCTGATGGTATCATGTTTCATTTGGCCTTCCGAATACTGACCCCAATGTGTGGTTTCCTCTTTCTTACAAGCTGTAAATCTGATAAAAATCTATACAAACAGAAATAGACTTTCTAGAAGGAAAGTGCTTTCTTCTTGGTACAGAAGTGTTTGGTGCCTTATATATGTTGGCTAGGTCAGCCAGGGACAGTTCCAGGTTTGAGCAGGTCCTGGGCAAAGTGAATCCTGGGGGTGCTTATGGCAGCAGTGCTCCTCAGACCAAACAACTGGGTCTAGCCACCACTTGCATTAAGGCATCACTCTGGGGCAGAGGTTTTCAACCTCTTTGTGTCTGCGGCTCCCTTGACCACATTCTTTCTGTGACACCCCTGTGGGTCTCAGGAGCCCAGTTGTGTCACCCCTTGCCTGCAGGGCCGGCAGCCCCTCATCCCTTTTCGAATAGCCTCCTTTGTGGAGTGTTCCCTCAGCCTCCTCTCTTCTCCCCCTCTCCTTGGGAGTCCTCTGGGCAGCTGCAGCTTCCACCCTGGTCTCTGAGCTGCCCCCTGCCCCAAAGAGAGGTGCCTCCCCACACTGCCCCACAGGGACCTGGGAAGCACTCCCTGGCCAGCCCCAGAGGCATCATTCTCCTGGGGAGCTTGTAGCCAGAGCTGCTGCAATGAACAGCTGTGCAAGGCTTTGGGAGGCAGAGATGCAAGAGGGCATCAGAGGAACAGAGGGTAGAAAGGAGGGACAGAGGTCAGTGTGCCCACAGCACCCCTGACCATCATTCAAGGCACCCCAGGGTGCCAGGGCACACTGGTTGAAAACCACTGCTCTGGGGCATTGTGAGAAATTTTAATGACTGCTGAACCCAGCAATCCAGCACTGCTCAAAGAGCTAGAACAGAGCTGATGTTTTCTGAAAGGTGAGCCCAAGACAGGTGTTAGCTGGGGCTCTGGGCTGCATAAGAAAGCAGTGTTTAATGTGGCCAGCAGCATGCTTTTGCAGAGGGCAGTGCTGCTGTGCCTTCCAAAACCTCAAAACCTCTCCCCTTTGCTCTGCCAGCTTTTCATATTCCAACAAGGCCAGACTTAACACTGAAGCACTACCTGGTCACTATAAGCGACAAGGAATTGCATGTTGATGAACGAGTGGGTTGGCAGAGGAGGGTCACAGCACCCTCACTAGGCTAGCATTTATTCATTCATTTATTTGCTTATTGCAGACTAGCAATTTTTGTAGACTTATATGCAAGTCTGGGCAAGATTTCTGGACCTTTTAACAGTTACAAAAACAATTTAAGTGGTGAAGCTTTCGCCAACACTTCATGGCAAGAAAGCCCTGCATTTACCTTGCCAGGCAGCTGCTAAAGTCACAGGAACTCTGCTGGAAGAAAAGTTGGCTGCCTTTTCATCATCAGTGCACACAGAACCAAATGACAGAAGGCATGTCCTGGGCATGGGGCAAGAGGTGATTGCCAGGACATCTTGAAATGCAC